ACTGCCTGCGACACAGAAACTTGTCTCCCGCCTTTTGCACAGCCGCTCTTACATGGCTCAGCTTCATGTCTCTTCGATGATGACAAATGAAGATACGGCAGGCTTCAAATGTTGATCCAGGCTTTTCGGCTGCGGGGAAGGAAAAACGCCGGCTTGCAGATCCGAATTTACGTGACCACTGATTGGCTGACCGTCCAGAACCTGCAGCACGGTCCTCCTGGAAGCTCGGCCCATGGACGGCCTTTATGCCAGAACGGATGACCTCGCAAGCCAGACAAGTGAGCAGCGCCGGGGGGTGCCGCTTCAAGTTTGATGGTCTTGGTTGCATGCCACGAACTTGTCACCCTTCTTTGCCTGCACCTGGATGGACAGGGGTCAGTCTCCGCTTGGGGGTGATAACAGATCGTTGCGTTCTTTGCTGACAAACTCTTTGTGTTTGGCTGCACAGCCATCACAAACCACTGTGCAGGACGCATGCTGGCTAGGTCCCAGGCAGGAATTGCATCCTGCAAGCAGAATTTGATCCATATTGATTGCTCTTTTGCATCCAACAACAGCTCTGATGCTTAAGGCCCTGTCTGAAAAGAAGCTTTAATACGAAGATCACACCTAACAACGCAAGCATCCAGGAGGGGACAGTCGCCTGGGAAACATTTGCGTCGTTCTGAAGACGAATGACGTAGTCGCCAGGGCTCAAGGAGATGACCTGAGCTTCAGATGCCCGTCTGACAAGCATGGTAGTTTCCTGAGATAGGGGAACCCAAATATGGACCCCAACATACTATAGTCCTTTTTGTAGGGACCCCCAAAATTGCACTCCGAAAGTTTAGGAAGCCTCCACATGTCTATGAACCTGACTAGTGCGAGTCATAATGTGAAAGAGGAAACCTTGGCTTTTACATTTGCTAGATTTTGCTGGGTTCTGGTGCTCTGCCGAAGCGTAATGTCTCGGACTGATTCCCAGCGTAGATGATGGGCCTGGCAAGCCCGACCAAATAGGGACGTCATGGGAGTGAGCTACAGTCTAAACTTCTAGTATCCCCTTAATAACCCGTAAAATACTCCCCTATATAATCCCCTATATAACACCCTTCAAGGAGTCTAGACTATAGCTCAAGTATGGAGACACTACGGGCATCTGCTCGCCCTGGCGCACAACAGCGCCCACATATCGACACAACGTACTTCAATGCCAAGCCCCCCCACCTAATATTACATCTTCCCCGCTGTAGTATAAAGGAAAAATGTGTTGGGGGTATTTAATATTAATTAGGGGTGTGGGGCATTCAACAAAGCACGCCTGAATTCTGTGCTGCCAGTAAAGGTGTCGATCACAGCGACCTGCACGTGCATGGGGACAGGACGTTGTAACCATGAGAAGGGAGAATCTACTTAGTCTCCTGGGACCACAGATCAATTGAGGCAACTCTTTTTGCGGGGAAAGTCTTGATCTCGCCTGCGGATTGGACTCGTCAGCCATGAACATGTGGGACTCAAAGGACACGGCTGTACTCTCCACATCGTGACCTCAGCAATGCGCTCCGGGCGTGTCGACTCAACGCCTCTGGATGACGAAAGCGTCATAGTGCCCTTGTGGACCGCTGTGTCTAAGCAAATGCTTTGCAATGCATGTTGGATACCCTGCAAGCGGGGTCCATGACTTCAGGCTGCCAATGCAAATTCTCTGTCCCAGGCGATAAATCACCAGCAGCAGAAGTGCATCTGATTCGGGAACCTCTGACCTCAATGCTGCGGGAGAAACTCAGGCTCAAAAATCCTTTGCTCACTTGAGCTCCATGCACCAAGAAAGTGCCTGTGGTGGTATTGCCAATCTTGAACTCCAATCTGTCATCCGCCTGCGACAGACATGATATATACGACAAGTTCCACGCTGACCTGTCAATGTGTAGCTGTCCACCCGCATCACTGTCTCAGTGCCTTCAGCGACACATCAAAGTCCCGGCATTGCTTGTACGACAGCTGCCTGCAGCTCGTCAAATTGACTCTGGAAGCCACAATTGTAGTTCCCACCCCCCCCTATAGAGACCCCAATATAGACCCCTGAAATACTACAATCCCTATTCTGGGCCCCAAAACCAGGTACCCCAAACTTTGGGAAACTCCCATATAAGTTGCTGAGGCAAAGGCTTGTCTTTGGTGAGCTGCTCCTTGCCTTGAAATATATCCTGAGCAGCTGCTGGGGCCCAGGGTAAACGCTCGTTGCATGCTGAGCCTACGTGAGCCGTAGTCGAAACCCCTAATATCCCCCTTAATAAGCCCTATAGTAATACCCTATATAATCCCTTAGAAGGTCCTGTAAAGGAGTTTTGACTATGGATCATGTGCGGCCGAGCTGCCATTGCCGCTTCATAGGGATATGCATTGCACCTGGCACAAGACATGTCGAGCATGAGCCTTGTAAGAAGATGTTGGAAAGACTTGGAAACCTGCGCTAGCCGATTTATCCAACGATGTTCAGCAAGCATGAGATTCGGGAACAAACAATCATGCTTGCATAAAACAAGGTTGGGTCTTATCCCTTAGCAGAATCAAGAAGGCCAGTCACGTGCGTAACCGCTGCTGCTCTGTTGGCACAACACCGTGCAGCCGGCTTCGCCTCAGCTCAGCATGCATAAGATCTTGCAACGGGCTCGAGCCTCTCGGTTTAGGGTTTAGGGTTTAGGGTTTAATGACAGGTGTAGTCTTGACCTCTTTCGGATCCTAGGCTACGAACGCGCGCCAGGAATGAGAATGATAGTCTTGGAGTGTTAGTTGCAAAGCCTGGTTACCCAAAAGATCGGCTATCGTTACTGGACTGCTCCCATAACCATTTTAAGATACAATCCTGGTCAGGGAACAGCACACCTTTGCTTACATCTTGACAGTTCTAAGACTGGACAACCGACAACATGCTAGATCAAACTCATAAAGGCGTGTTTGGCTTTCGGATTCTCTATGGGTACAGGCAAGGCCACTGAGATCCTGGGGTATCTTCCATCTAAAGGCAGGCATCTACAAGACATTGCAAGCACACTTTCAACAGCTGAGTAAAGGCGATGCCCATCCGCCCTTCAAAACCAGGTGCTTCACCACGCCCAGGGATTGTGTTCAAATGGCCGCTTGCGAAGAAGAGACTCAGCTCCAGGCAATACTACATTCCGCTGAACCTTGACACATGCAGTGTTGTCCAGTCATGTTTTCTGTGGTTGAAGGCGAATACATTGCGCAACCTCAGGCTTCAGTCTTATGTGAGGCAAGTCAACGAATTCCTGACTGCCATTGATATAACCATGCTTGATCAGGAAGAACCCCAAGGTGCCTTATGCGCAACAGCTGCCACGGCCAGCAGGAGCACAAGGCCTGAACGCCATAAAAATGCACACCATGACACCCCTGAAAATAAGTGGCACTGCATACTGTGAGATATTATGTGTCATTGTGGCACACTGCAACAGCCCATCAGGGGCATGGCATGCCCTCGCCATGGCTTCACCATGCGCAAGCTATGCTTTGAATCGAGCCAGGGTTGCAGGTTGCTGGCATGAAAGTAGAAGATTCTGGCATCGCCCCACCGCAGCCCTTCATATGGCCTCTTTTTTCACGCCACTAGAAGCGGAGAACTCCAAGAGATAATGTAAGCCTGGCCACCCCGCAGGAACGAGTCCAAAGCGGTGAAGCGCAACTGCGCCAGTAGAGCGAGTTAGGAGTTTGCACGAAACTGCCGGGGCCTGGCAGCCAGGTTCAGACTCAGCTGCGCTTTAAGCGCAGCCGGAAGGAGTCTATGCGAGACTAGAAGAAAAGCCACAGAGGAGGCTCTGTTCACAAGTAGTAGCTTGCCGGGCATGCTAGAGTCGCTAGAGGCGCTAGATATCCAGAGGAACCCATCTAGAACAAACAAGGCAGGGCTTGGAAGTGGGACAGGAGAAACCAAACACAAAACCAAACCGTGCAGGACGTATTCCATACAACCACCGACTTCAGGATGCGCAATGCTTTGAATTGGCATGTAGACAGGACCCTCCCTATTGCTGCACGAGAAAGACACCGGCAGCATTGCGCCCAGTGCATAGCAAACTTTCATGTCAGCTCAGCACAGCAATGCCTCCTCATGCGCTTCAAGACCTGGAAAAGCTTGGTGTCACCACCTGGAAGTATGGCCAACGATCTACGACCATGCGAAGCTGATCACTACATGGCACGTGGCTAGTATGAGCACAAAAAAAGCTCCTGCACGCATCTCGACTTTTGTAAGTATTGAGGGGTTTACGGAAAGTATGCTCATGAGCCCAAAGCAAACTTGAACTGGTATCTGAGCCCACTTACGCATCTATGGCCCAATCTCAACTTTGCAGGAGATGGCGTCTGTCCATGGAAAATCGTTCTTGCACCCTGCAAGCTTTGCAACAGCTCTGTACCGTGGGCTCCAGCATGCGGATTGCAGGCTGGGCCAAGGAATTGCCCACGGCTAAGCGGAGCTGTCATGCAACAGCGTGCCCATGATTTTTAGATTTCACGCTTGGCCATGTCCTCATGCACAGCTCCGGGTTGAGCTGAACAGAAAACACATCCATTTGACTTCAGTTTCGGCCATGCCAGCAGCTTTCCACAGAGGACACAGCAGTAATTAAACCAAATCTAGAAGAATGGATCGTTCTCAATGTGCCAAAGATGAGCCGCAGCACGATGGCTTCGGACAGAATGGAAGCGAAAAAAATTAGTAAACTGCAAGCCTGCTCCAATTTCTGCCAGATTTGGCACCTTGATAACACTCTATGTCGCTACGCATCAAACGTCGAAGTGTGGGCCTACAGCATCGCAGCATTGCAATGAATACAGCACGCACATTACCTTAGCGAAGCCCGAAGGCAAGTCCAGAAACGATCTTGCAAAAGACCCGAGCAAGGATGCCAAGATCTTGCAAGATGCTGCAGACACACTGGCAGCCCCTGTCCTGACACTTGGTTGCATTTTTGGCATCAAGAACTTCCTGGCCTCAACTCTCACCGGGAGGCACCACTGGACGTCCTCATCTGGCAACACGGCTAAGATTGCGGATTCTTAGCTCCTTCGTCCAAGGCTCTTTAGGTCGGTCGCAAGCCTTTCTTTCTCCTGCGCAGGCCATGGATGCCCATCACTAGGCCAAGGCTCTGCCAAGGCTCTGCCAAGGCTCTGCCAAGGCTCTGCCAAGGCTCTGCACCGCTCCTCGGCAGCCTTGCGGGCCTTCTCAGCCTGTTCCATGAGCTTGGCCTGCGCAGCCTTCAGTTCCAAAGACAAGAACATGCGTGGGTTCCCATCTGCTCACCATCATCCAGCGCCTGCGCCTCCTCTACAGCTGCCTTTGCAGCTTCTGCCTAGAAACATGAGGGCACAGGGTTCAACCTCTGCTTGGAGCTGTACTGTAGCACTGTACCGGGTACATGTGTCAGCACATAGCGCCACCTTGGACTGCAGATCCATGGCCTGCTTCTGCGTCAGCTCCCTGCAAGTAGTCGCACCCAGTCACAGGTCTGACAGCTAATTGCGTCTACATCAGTTCAGCCCGCGTTCTGGGCCTCCTTCCCTATGTTCATGGGCCGTGTCCCTTCTAATAGGCCCCCGAGGTTTTAAGCACACGGTGCAATCCGTGAAAGTTCTCGGAGGAAACCCCACAACAAGAAACGAGCGGCCACCGTTCTCCTGTAGCCTGTAGGACGATAGGAAATCTGTATACATTGAACAGCAGACAGTTATGAAAGCCTGTAGCCAGAGGGAAGTAGAGGAAAGGAGTTGGAGAAACTGCACCTGCTCTTCCAGAAGATCGCAAGAAGTCCCCGCCTCATCTCAGAGAGTGCCTCGTGCTCGGCGAGCTTTGCCTTCCCAATCACGCATGGAATGTCAAGTCACTCATTTTGAAATGCGCAACCATGAGAGAGGATGCAGATCGCCGTATGCATTTCTGCAACAAGTAGAGGCTGCAAAGCTCTATGTGGCCCTCCTTGCCTCTTCGGCCACTCGCCGTGCTTGCAGGGCTTCCTGCACAACTGGCCGAAGATTGTCGGGGTCACAGCAACTACAGGATCAACACAACTTCCCAAGCGGAGGAGGCAAACTAATCAGTCCTCCAAGGCATCTGCCTTGGCAACCTGGCAGAAATAAACCAGCTTCAGCATGCTTTCGGGCCCTGGCTGACCTTCATGAACTGATCAATTCTGTTTAGGTGCCTTCCCTTTTAAACGACCAGTTTTGCTGAACGCAAGCAGAACTCCTCCTCGAGGAAAAAAAATTGTTTGTCCGCGGGCCTCGGCCGCCTTCTGGGCCTTAGAGGCCGCGTCGGCAGCAGCAGTCTGTTCCTTGACTCTCTCGTCAGCAGCTGCTATGGCCTCCCAACACTAAATCCAAGATTTCCCCATGCCAAGGCTTCCATGCTACCAGACCCGCCTCATCAGCAGCCCTTATGGCTTCCTGTGTGGCTTTTTCAGCCGCTTTCCTTGGAGGCAAAGCGCAGACCGCGATACAAAAAAGACTGTTCATTGAATGCAGCCAAGGTTCTTTGCCTCAGCAGCATCTGCGAGAGCATACTTCTTGTCTGCCTGGCCATCACATGAGTGCTAGCAATGAGGCTTGCTTCGTACACAACTCCCGGACCTTCGCGTCTTCTGCAGCCTTCTTTGCCTTGGATGCCTCTGCGGCATCCTTTTTAGCCTGGGCATAGGATAAGTGGCTCAAGGACAGTACCCGAAGAATCGTGGACAGAATGGAGCTCATGTTGTAAGTTGTGCTGCTCAACATATCTAGCTGTTCTCGGATCATCTCGGATCCATGAAATAGCTCCTGCTTAAGCTCAATTGGTGGGATTCTGCACTGCCTGCTCTTCGGCTGCTTTCCGTGCCGCATTGGCCTTTTCGATGGCTGCTACTTTATCAGCCTGAGCGGTGATAATGAGCTGCTTTCAGAATCTTTCAGAAAGCTGGCTGGATTTTTTGAATGCATGACACCGGCTCCATGTGTCCACAATGCAGGAGCCTCAGCTTTCTTTTTTGTTTCCTGGGCCGATTTCAAGGCCTTCTCTCTGTCCGCGGCAGCCTTTGAGGAAGGTCCACTGGCCATGCTTATGTGCACATGCCATGATACCCAAGTCTGCCAACTACTGTGCAGACTGCACCTGTTCTGCAGCGGACTGAGCTTTGGCTGCCTTTTCTGCTTCCGCGCGCACCTGAGGATGCAGTAGCCACATGCGCAACACATCCATGAAGCATCTGGCACACTATGTCACACACACACACTCTCTCTCTGTTGCGACACCCTCCTCTGTGAGATCCCTACCCGCTCTTCGGCTCTTTGGCGCGCTTTCTCTGCAGCCTGGAAGGCAAGCACAAGACTTCCATGCTTAGCTGTATGCTGGTTTGGGCTCTTCCTAAGTTTGTTTCAAACTTTCGTGGAACCTGCCTTGGCCATCTCCTTTCTCTCTTCTGCAGCGTCCTGTCGTTTGGATTTGATTTCTATGAGACGACACAACTACGTGTTGAGGAAGCCTTTGACTGGACCCCGATGCCCCTTCTTCGCTCTGCCACACACTTTCATCTGCTCTAGACTGGTGACCATTTTGTCAGATAGCTGACAGTCAGCAAAAAAGCAGAAGCTTGCGACCCTGCCTGCTTTGCTTTCTCAGCTGCTTTGAGCCTTAATGCTCATCTACAACACTGGGAGACGTCGATCGAAACGAGAGCAAAAGATGCTACAAGAACTCGACGTCTTGGTGAAGCGGGCAGCTGCGGAATCGAACAGCCTTCACCACAGTTTCCAAATGCGACCAAGCTTCGCATACTTTGTCTCAGCCTTTGCCTGCACAACCTGGAGCGAGAAAGTCTTGCAATCCTTCACTACATCAGCTAAACGGGATGTAAAGCACGGTAGCCTTCTCAGTAGTTGCCCAGATCTTATCTTCGGCTTGTCGGAACTTCTTCTCAGCATGCTGCTTGAACTCTTCCCTTGGCAAGCCAGGGCGGTAGACAAGCCGGTCATCTTGCTTACTAAGCTTGCTGAGATTAAGTACATCAACAGACAAAACCATTCATTTCGCCCTGCAAAGCTTGTCCACATGCAGACTGGCATCGACTTCTTCGTGATGAATTGCTTCTCTTTATTGGAGGTCTGGCCAACAAGACAAGCTGAAGGCACAGCCAAAGCCCGATAATATGCTGAAGTTGCCTATGAACGGGATCTCCATATGTCTATGATCCTCAGGCCCGTCACTCAGGTCTGCGACGCAAGCTAAAGTACATGATCCCAGCCCGCCAAATGCCGGGGTTTCGACTGTAAACCTGAGGATTCAAGCTTTAGGGATTCAGCAGGTTAGGGTTTCAATGCAGGCCTGCACTGCAGCATTTGGAGTTTCAGGATTGCAGAGGTTCAAGTTGTTCAGCTACCAGCCGCGGCTTGGCATTCAGAGTCAGGGTTCACGCCTCCAAATCCACGTTCAATTTTTCGATGTCTTTCTCCTTTCCTCGAGTCATGAAGGACAGACTGCCGAATGAAGACATGTGAACATGAGCAGCTCGGTATAGTACAGTCCATCAAGAATATGAGCTTCCTACACTGCTTGGAGTTCCCTGAGCCCCCCTGCCCTTCAAGCTTGCTTCGAGGCTTTGAAGCTCTTTGGCAAGCTCCTCATTTTCGCTTGTGGACACCTTTTTGCAAAGCAAGCGCAGGGATCAATGAAAATGGCATCTCGTAGCGGTCAAATCACTGCAACATGGAGTAAGCCCAAGATCTGGAGTTGTTCTTAACTTGAGACTACACAGCGGTTACTATGGGATCCCTATGAACAGCTGTAAACGCGGAATTGTAACAAACTCCCAAACACCATCGGGCCTCCAGCTGTTTGGAGAGCTTCTTTTCCTCAGCCCAAACGAATCTTTTCCCCCGGGCACCAGCTTGCTGAAAGCACGCAGGGAAACATTGCCATGTACATCTGACAGCATCGGGGGTTCTAGCTAAAACTTCAGACTGCAGGTGCCCAACATGTTGCCAACTACTAATTCGCAAATCGCCTTTCAGCTGCCAACATTGGATCTTACTGCTAGCGACAGTACCACCGCCAACAATACTACCAGCAGCAGCCAGCAGCACGGCTGCGAAAGCTGCGACAACAAATGCCGACAGCTTGAAGCGTCTGCTTAACATGGCTGAAAGCATTTTGGTTCAATTGCTTATCTACATTAATCTACAGCTTATTTGGGCTTACACTGGTCTAAGTTGTCCTGAGCCCTTGAGAAACTTGAATTCTCAGAGCAGACAGGTGTCATTTTCAGCCACCACCTCCAGCTGACCTCGGCCCAGAAAGATATACACACTGTAACTGACGAAAATCCTGGTTCACGGATGCAGCAGCAGACCGCTTGGATCGGGACTTATCCTCTCAAGCAGGCGCTTGTTCTCCTCCTCCATGACCGGAAGCCGCTCTTCTAGCTCCTGTAAACAAAGAAAATGGAAACTACTGGGATTATAGGGGGTATATAGGCATTGGGAATATATTGGGATAATATGGGGATAATGGAAAAGAAAATCGAAACTACATCTAAGCACATGGTTCTCCTCTTGCAAAAAACTGCGCAGGTGACCGCACCTTGCTCCTCGCCGCAAATTTCTTCATCATCTCGTAATAGTTCTTCTCACGTCCTGTCGCCGAGCATGCGATTCGAACATATTCTCATCTAATTCAGCCCTGACAAGTCCTGCTGCTTCCTTGGCGGCCTCTCTCAACGTGTCAGTTTCCTTCTGCAGTCTTGCGCCTGACTCGGATCACGCGAGGAATACAAGCGGGCCTCAAGAAGAAACTTCGTCCCCGAATAAAATGTCAATTGTTTCACTTGTGTAGCGCCGTGAAGACTAAAGATTTTTTGGAGGGTACCTACTTTTAACAAGCTGAAGTCGAAGGGTAGCTTCAATCGCGAAAAACGAATTACCTAGAACAGCCAAAAAAGGGGGATGGTTGTACCTACTTTGGGGAATCAGGTGCAGGCACATCTGCCCATTGCCCCCTGTTTCCAACATCACACCGTGATGCTGCAGACAATGTTGTAACGCGGCATGCTCTTAACCTGAAAGTATCCATGCTTGAGGCCAGGAAGCATTTCGAAGACTTTAGATAAGCAGCAGCTGCGCTACTGTCTACTGCTTTCACCTTCACCCACGTGTAAAAGCCACTTCTTCCGACGCTGCGCGATGCCCTAATGCAGTCCACACTGCTGCTGCTCTGCATGTGCCTTCTTCCATGACCTCTTTGAGCTTGGCGTTCAGCAACTGCGCACAGCGCACAGCGTCAAAGCGGTTCAGAGAACAAACAATTGCAGAAATGGGCAGATAACAACTGCTTCAATGGCTTGCTTCTGCGTGGCCAATACAAGTCCTGACAAGGCCTGGCAAAAATTATCCTGCCTCCTGCTGTTCTTTTGATGCTGCGAGGCTTTCTTCAACACTGCGTACCTGCCAGTATTCTTATATGCGATCAGAACAATATTGACTGCCTGAGAAGTTATGGATGAATGTCAAGGAAGACGCCCTACATCAACAAGAAACGTGTTGTGGTCACCTTCTCGTTCAAGGCAGCATTCTCCATTCGAGCCGTCTTCAAGTCGCTGATCACCTCAAACATGTATCATGCATCTCTCAATATCTTTCACCCCAGATCACGAACCAAGGAGGCTTTTCAGTTGTGGCTGCGATAGGCGCCGAGCTCGGCTGGTCTCATTCCTTGAAGAGGTGAGCCTGGGTTTCAGAAAACTTTTCGACTGGGACAAGGCTCTCTTGCTACTACAGCATCCAGTGGGTACAAGCCTGCTGCTTCTCATTGATTGTGACATGTGGTACTTTCCCAAAATTAGGGTACCCCAATATTGCTCCCAATATACTATAATCCTTAATATGGGGACCCCCCACAAAGGTACCGCTAATTTTGGGAAACTCCCATGTGTTCTAAGAGCCATGCGCTTCTCGAGTGTCGGTCAGCTCGGTGCGGATTTTCTCTTCCTAGTTGCAGCAATGTGTGATGCGAAGATCAAGCTACTGGGTAAGTGTGAAGCGTCTATCGTCGGGGCTTACATGAGTAGAATAGGGGGCTTGGGGTATACTATGGTACACCCACATATATATATATATGTATGGAGTATAAGAGAATAACTTTGGTAATTCTTCAGGTTTCCACGTTCCTGCAGAAGTGGACAAGCAAGGTTCAAAGATTGTGTTTGCGGTTGGTTTCTCATCTTGCATTGGGCAGGTGATGGTTGCAGATTTGGTGGATTATATTTCCAATGAATCTTCGCACCAACTCGGTAATTCGACGCCCTAAAATGTTGACTGAGCACTGAAGGAAGGCGCTATAGAGCGCATGGTGTAGAATTCTATAGCGGCTACTATAGCTCCAGCCTTCCATTCTCCATTGCACAGTGGCTAAGAATCCGTCAGCCGAGACCACATAATCCAGCCCGAAGCAGGGTCCGCGTAACATATGAGCGGTTCTCATTGTGTTTGGTAATGTCCTCATTTTTGGGTACCGTACCACAAGCGGTGGTAGTATTGCAGGACATCGCTTTGACAAGTCCCCCTACGCTTATCCCACGCCCCGTTCATAAACCTCTAAAAATTATCGAGTACCTGGTTACGAAGTCTTTGGACCTTTGGCTTGGGTGTGCTGCTCATTTCATGCTATCACTCGAGGATCCAAATGTCAAGCTATCCGCTATCCTGGAACAGGTCTCAGAATCCCTAGTTGCACGTACAGAGAGCCCTAACGGCCCTGAACGTAAACCGCCATTGTGTCTTGGCTATACTCCGCCAGTTTGAGAAACCTGTATGCATATGTGCGTGCGTGCGTGCATGCAAACCGCAAGCCGGGATGAGCCTTCTTCGTTGCCGCTTCGCGCTCTGCCTGTGGTCGTCAGTAACGGAGATTTTGTAATTGACACAGCAATAACTCCATGACACAGCTTGCCGGTCACTCTGAAGCCACATTTTGAAGCGGGCTGTGAACTTGGGGCAGGGGGCGCAATCACAACGCAGAAATGGCACGCAAATACCGGATCTGCCTGCATCTGCTTGTCGAGCTCCCTGGCAATTATATCAGCATAAGCTCCATAATTGTCTCAATTATTCCGTGGGCTCTTCATCATCACACGCAAAATAATGCATGATGAACACATTTGCCAGATCTCCTACATATCTAAAACCTCTGATGCGCAAATGGAGTATCGGCAGTTCTCCGTCCTCACGGTGACCGTGAGCTCTTTCTTCTTTTCTTCTAGCTTCGCAAGCTCTTCCTGACAGCATCAACTGCAAAACAGCTGATTTCGGGAAGCGTGATTGCAGCGGCGGCTGGACTCATCAACCATTGCAGCCCGCCTCCTTCTTTTTTGCTGCTTCTTCGGCCTCCTTTTTCTGCTGTTCATTCCTATCTTTTTCTTCCCTGAGAAGCATCAGTCAGGGAGAAAAGACGCGACCGTCCTTGCGATTGCATATGACTCCCCCCGTCCCCTGAGCCATGTGCTTAAGCATCTCTTCAAGCTTCTGCACATCCTGCGGAGAAAGCTGATACAAGGTTGTTAGTGCAACAAACTTGGAAAGAGCTGCTCTAAGACTGCTTGACGTGAACAAAAGGTGGTCCAATTTACAGCACTGGTCTATCCGAACCGGTCCTGGCGGAGCTCGTCCCGATCAACCTTGTGGCGCTGCAAGAATAGGCTGCTGCCACAGAATCAAGTCCACACATTGAATATCTTCCTTTGGAATGACTTGGGTGTCAAACGCATGCCCTCCCAGCCTGCAGCTTCTCGTTGGAAATCTGGGACATTTCCAGCTGGTCACTGACGCTGGTGTAGGTTTCCTTGAAGTCCATGTGTGAAAGCAATACAGTGCAATTGCAACCTAGAAGATTATTGCGCAGTATCGCGCACCTGCAGCGCTTCAATCCGCTCTCGTAGCTCAGTGCCAACGCCTAGGCGAGAGATCAAGCATGACTAAAACAACTAGAGCCTGTCCAACAATCCACAATGATGAAAGGTCGAGAAAAAAGCTCAGATGAATAAGTTCGAGACGGACTTCTTCTTGAAGCTGCGCCTGTCGCGAACCAGATGATGCGGCATGTGCCAAAGGACATGCAGCCTAGGACTTGTGCCTCCATCTTCTTCTGAATCTCTTCCGTTTGGCGCTCCATTTCTGCTATCATCCTTTCTTGCCTGCAAGTCAAATAGACAGTGAGCAGGGATCAATCGCTACTGCACATTCCGAGTTTCCAAAGGAATCAGCCTCTTCTTCTGTGCTTCTAGCGCTTTCTCCAGCTCAGCCTGACAAACCAAGGTGCTTTTGAAGCAATCTCTCCTCGAGACGCCCCATGACCTCCCGGCTGCCAAAGAATTCGCGGATTCCTTTCAGTGCAGCTTCTCCCCCATCCTGGCCTTGCACAGTCCAACAACTCGGTAGAAGCTTGCCAGTCAGCCATCCATGACCAAGCCAAGAAATATGGAGCTCACTTTCTGGTAGCCCATCCAGCACTTTGCATGAGCTACTTACCTTACGTTGCCTAGGGTGATTCCCGCAGCATAGTCCACCTGCAAAGTGTTGAAATCAACGCCTGCAAGCCTGCGCGTCATAGCTATCCCGAATGTCTGGAAAGAAACTGAGCCCCAAGCTTGCTATGGAAGCCACGTGCCTGGCACAAGCCATGCATCTGAGTATGATCGCTAGTGCTTCATGTGAGATGAACAGGTTTTGCGTTCCCAAGACTTTTGGCAGCACGTGGCCAAAATACGAGTAAAGATGACTAGACTGCACGTGTAAGCGTCTGCACAAAGCTCCAAGAACGCTCTGGGATGCTGACCTGCTTAAGCGCTGGCCGCCCGGGTCCTCAACGGGACCAGGCGGTGGTCGAGGTGGGGCCTCGACAACAGCAGCTTTCAGCTGAAGAATTCAGCTGAAGGAAGGGTGGAGAGTGGCGACAGCACAACGGAGAAGACGGATGAAGGAGGCGAGATCACAAGAGGCCGGCAGAATCCGTGGCTAGGCCCTGAAGTGTCAAACTATCGGCCTTTGGCCCTTGGCCATTGACATCTACAAGACCGCTATGTCGCTATGTTCAGACAGTGGCCTGCCTCATCCTTGGAGTCCTTCTCTTTCTTCTCTTCTTTCTTATCATCCGCCTTGGCCTGAAAACTGGAACTTAAGCTGCTTAACATGCTGAAGCAGTCCTTCTGCACACAACATCTTTATCTATCCCAGATGACCATGCCGAGCCCACGTCAGCCTCAGGCTTCTTGTCTTCCTTTTTTGGCTCGGGTTTCTCCTGCCCGTTCTTGAGAACGTACAGAACTACCGCTACTCACCTGCGGAAAGTGGGAAAGCGCAAAAGTGCAACTTCAATCTACATTGTACATGCTAATCTAAACTTGCTGGCCTCCTTCTTTCCGTCTTTCTCCTTCTTCTCATCCTCCTTTTTCTCCTCCTTTTTGTCTTCCTTCTTGTCATCCTTCTTCTCCTCGTTTTTCTCCTCTTTCTTCTCTTCTTTGTTCTCTTCTTTGTTCTCTTCCTTCTTGTCCTCTTTCTTATCCTCTTTCTTATCCTCCTTCTTATCGTCCTTCTTATCCTCCTTTTTCTCCTCCTTCGGTGCCTTGCTGTCTTCCTTTTTCTCGTCCTGCCGCTTTGTATGGTGAAGTGCCCCGCAATTAATTACAATCTAGGGCTTCACGCCGGAATAAATCAGGAAGTTGCCATCCCTCCACGAAAAAAAAAGAGGAATCCTTTGACGTACTCTCAACGCTGCCTTGTGTCACAAGAAGATGATGTGGAGCATGTATCACAGATGTTGTGGCGGCGCACACCCGAAACCAATAGCTCAGACTTTCCTACAAACTAATCAACTGCAAGCTGTCATCTGCACAAAATGTCCTACTACTGTGTCCATATCCTGAGCTGCATCCTTGACCCTTCTGGCCTGTTTGTCCTCCTTCTTTTCGGCACCCTTGCCTTCTGATTTGTCCTCCTTCGGCTTGTCACCAGCACCCTTGTCGTCTTTGTCTTCCTTGCCGGGCCCCAGTCGATTGCATGTTCTTATGAGGTTAGCATCACCGCTCCGATGAAAACAAGGAATATGATGTGCTTGGACATTCAGACGATCACGACAGCGACGAAGACAACGACAAACGATAACACCGCTCCTGCTGGCCACACTTACACGGATGGAGACTGGAACAAGAAACGCCGAAGCAGAAAATCGCAGCCTGCTAGAAGCTTTGGCATCGCAACTTGCGAGCACTTACATAATGTATGTCTCCGCCTTTGGGGCTGCAGGTAGCGATCACAACTGACTAGTTTGCACACTGTTTGCACCATGCTGCCACGGGCATCATGGTAGTTCCTACCTTCTGTGGGCGACATGTTTGCTCGTGAAGGCCTTCTTCTCCTCTTTTTTCTCCTCCTTCTTCTCTTCCTTCTTCTCATCCTTCTTCTCAGCATTGTCTCCGCTCTTTTCCGTCTTCACCTGCTGGTTCAAGCAGTCCAGTTCACACTAGGTCCACTAGGCTTTGACACCTTCCGCACACATCACAAAGCAGTCGCCTCAGCATCGCTTTTCTTGTCATCCGGCTTCTTGTCGGCCTCTTTAGGCTTCTCTTCCTTCTTGTCATCATCCTTCTTGTTTTCAGCGTCGGCAGGCTTTGCCTCCTTAACGTGGCAATCCACAACGCAACTTGCGCAGCCAGTCCGCAGCAAAAGCAGGCTACAGGACCTGCCCTACCAGCACTATCCGCGTGACTGAGCAGGCCTTCGCTTTGTCTGTGTTGTTGGTCTCTTCCTTTTTCTGCTCTGATCCCTTGCAGGAATGCAGCAAATCTGGAAGGAAGCACGGCGGTGACTTCTGCTAGAAATCGTGTTCGCTGAAGATCTAACTGCCGGCAAGCTCTTCGCCGCACCACTGAAGCTCATTTAGTGCACGGCCTCGAGGTCCTTCCGCTGAATTCCGACCTGTATAATACTTTAAAGCAGAGGGTCCCCGTCAGCTGCGTTCCAAGGGATACTGTAGAACAAACCAGGTTGACTAAAGGCTGGCGCATGTTTGCTACAATTCGGTGCGCAAGCCTAACATTCAGATGCACGTACAAACACAGCAACTGCAAGTAGCTTTTCGTTGCAGTCCAGCCTGGTCGACTTCTTGCATCAGCTTGGACCGTGGTTTTGAATCTGAACCTGAAGGAATGGCTTTCTACGACCAGCCTCATGAAGCATCATCATTGAACAAAACAAAATGGGCATGTCCATACACTTTCACATCAGAAGACCTACGGGCAAGCTTGCCCGAGCTATTCCAAGTCTGGGGCCCACTAGGACACAAAAACCTCACCTCTGCACAACTGAAGAGTCAAAGCAGTGGCAGGCTCCTCCTTACGCCCTGAACTTGCCAGTGTCCTGACTCAAGATGTCTGGGGCTGTGGCTAGCTGGCGTGCGAAGAGACCTCTCCCGCACCAGATGTATTCCCAAAAACTTGCAGGACATGCATATTGCCAGGAGCAGTCTGCGCTTTGTTGCTAGGTGGCCTTCGCTCCCGCTTTGCTAGCACTGCAGCTGCAACTGTCAGCCCTGCAGCCACACTCGAGACCTGCTGAGCAAGTTGAGCTTGCGGCGGCAAAGCAGACACATAGTACATCAGAAAGTCACGCAACGATCTGATTCAGCCTGTGTCGTCGAGGTAGCGGCTTCCGAAGAAGCCAATTGCGTGCTTGCACCCTGCAGCTTCGACTCTTTTGGCACAGCTGCATGTCTGAATGCTCTGGGCAACGCAGGACATAGTGTCACCCACCTCGACCTTTGCAGAGGGTGTTCGTGCAGAGAAGAATGGCCCGCCTCAAACAACAGAATCCCTTACAATTTCCAAAACCTTCAACATTCACGGTCCAGGTCTCCGACTGCTAGGGGCCATAAATGTTGTCGCTGCCGCCCCTGTCACAGAGCATTAAACATTTCAACTGGTCAAACTAATCCACCATCCTCGAGTGCACATCCTGCTCAGCATGCTGACAAACGGCAGTCGCATACTGTCATGATTCATGGTTTGAGCGAATGCAAACTGAAATATCCTCTCTGCCAGTGGGCCACAACCTGAACGCCAATGCTCAACGAAAACACTTTATCAGCCTCAAAAGGGCTGTGAAAAGTGCTGATCTGTTTACCATGAGCATGATCAGTGTCAACAACCAATCAGCGTGAACACAACTCGTATAAGCAGTAACCTGAAGGTCAGGTAGTTTTCTTTTCCAAAGACACCCTATCCAACATATTCACTGCGTCCTGCACATGCCAGTGTCATCGCCGCCACTGGCGCGGTTGGTTTCCTCCTGTCAGGAACATTGCACAAGTCAACATTGAAGCTGTTTGCTAAGTGAATTCTTTTTTGCTTCGATGAAAAGGACATCACTTGCTAAGATGGTCAACATGATGTGCCATGCACACTATTACTGCCATGTCCGCAATCATGGCTGCTGTTGCTGCCACAATCTCCCTGTCATGTGTCCGACTCAAAAACTAGTTGCAGGAGTGATGGTGCCTTCGCGTATTCGCGACCATCATGTGTTCGGGACGGCCCATAAATCAACTCCTGAAAATTTGGGCCATGCGGCTACCGGTCATGCACATTGGATCTGCAGATGCCGAACAAGCAAATGCTCGTATGTAAGGCATGTTGTGTGCCAACCTTTATATTCAAAGTCAAAAAACCCGAAGAAAATTATGTGACAGTGCAATCGCCAGGTCCTCATTCACATAGAGTCGGCTACGTGGTTTGCCCTATGGGGTGGAATTCTGCTTCTTAGATTGAGGATCTTCTTCGAAAGCAAGTCACAAAGGCTGCCGAAGCGTGCGTAAATTCAGGGGAAGCTGCGCGCTTAGAATGGGGCTCTGTCTGCCCCTCGTGAACAATCGTGTGCTCAACATCTTTGCATTTCAACTACGCATTGCGACTCACTTGAGAAGATGTTCCGATGTGCATGGATGATGCTGACCCCCTTTCTCGCTTGCGCGCAGTTTCGCTATCGACACGATCATGACACTGGGAAGCATGAGGCGCGGTCTCATCAAGGACCTGGCCTGCAGCCTTCGTGAATGCCGGGTCGCTGGCTGGGGAGCTTGCACATGGAACCCGGGCATGGACAGTCGTACCTGTGTCACTGAGGAACAGCGTCGTGTCATCGCAGACTCTGGAAGAAGCGTATCTCGAGAGCCGCTGGTAACTGCCACCCGCTGCAAAGCCCTCTTCGTCGTGGGGTTCTCTGAATCAACAAGGCAGTGCTGGCATCAAACTTTAGCTGTTCACCCGTAGCCCACGTCCATGACCGCGACACGAAAACCCTAGAGCTCAGAACTTCAAATGACTCTGGAAAAGATAAGCGCTGCAGCTTGCAGCTGCAAGAGCGACGCAAATAAAGACCCAAGGATACAGACAAAACATTATAGTCTGAAACTGGAAGCTGGGGCATGCAAGTTTTCGGGCCCGAGTTCAGGGGTACCCCCACTTTGCATAGAATCAGGCCACTGTGAAGTGACTTCCCGGGCACTACGAAACGTCCCCATCATTTCCAAAACGGAGAAGTCTTGTGATGCAAGAATTCGATTTGAGCTCGACAGCTGAGTTGCTAGCTGCCAGACGTGGCGTACGCCTTGTGTTGACAGTTGTGGAAGCATCTTGAAGTTTTGCATATGATCAGCCATAGTCTTTGAATTGACATGCCATGGGTTGCATAACTGGGATGCATGGTTTCCAGTTCGGAGTATGGGGTGTGGAGCCTCATGACCATGTTCGAAGCTCCATTGAACGATTCGGGAGGTGGTTTTCTTCGTAAGTAAGTCCCCGCGGGATAGCAAGAATGAGATGCGCGGACCTCCCTGATTATCAAAACATCCTGAAGCACCATTTTGTCCTGATATTCTGGCTTTCAATTGGCCCTTGAAGCCTGTTGGTGCGGATTTTCTTTGGTGGGCTCACTTTGCATCGTGGGCCACCAAGTCTGGTCCAAACTGAGCGCGATGATCACATTCCAACGCAATCCTTCGAAACGAAGACGGCGGATGCCTGCACAAACCTTACATGTTCGTGCAGACCAGTTAATGCCGTTGCTCTGCCTATTCGGGAACGACACTTCTTCCTAACCTGTTTGCATTCAACGTTGGGTTTGCTGAAAGAAAATATCTCACTCTCTCTAGTCATCAATCCATAGTGCAACTTCCCGATCAAGATAGAGAAAAGCAGATTACTTCAATCCAAATTGCAATCATCCAAGTCAATTTCGAGGCTCCATCAAAACATGAGTAGAAAATATTTCGACATGACCCAACAGAACGTTGTTAGAGGAATCAGGACTGGCAAGACAAGAAACAACCGCTAAGTCAAACCTTTTCTGCTTGGTGACTGACGGCAACGTAAAACGTCCAAGCAATTCACAAGCACGGAAATTGCGGACCATGAAATAGCTACCTAACTTACATAAGCAACATCAACAAAAGTAGCTAAACTACCCAGCGTGCGAAAAAACACCCCCCTCACCGTGTGCTTCAGCACTAGGTGCACACATGAGCACTCAAAAGAAACAGGAATTAGGTTGCCCCAAGCTGCTGTTGTAGTCTTTAGTGAGCGGCAGTTAGCAGAAACATAAAGTACAATGGTCCATGCACTGCATCACGCAGCGAACTTACTGTCCCCAGTAGCGGTGCCACTCAGTGGCTGAATACCATGTGCGCCCATGGCAACCACCATGGGTCCATCGTTGCCAATCCTGGCGCAGCGGACTTTGCCTTTGCTGCAACTTTTGATCCCGCTGACTGCTTAGCGCGCGCTGGCTCTTCGGACCTTGCCTTTGCTTGAGCCGTCTGGAGATTGTCGACAAAGATGCCGTTGATTCCTCGACCATGGAGTTCAGGGTCATGTCCTTGAGGGTCATCGTGTCATTGAATGTCAGGATCTTATACGGGCAGCCTCGTTGCCGAGGGCCAAACCGGCATACGTTGTTGCATCCATGAAAGCGCCATGGAAGCCCACACCCATGTTGAGGATGGTTGTGTCATCAGCCAAGTGGACCGCACGCATGGGGACCGCACGCATGCGCTCAACCGCCGTTTGATTGTTGATTGTAGTTACTATACAAGCTTGGCCGCCACAGCACTGTGGGCAGTGGACGCGAAATCTGCCTGGCTTCCTGTTCCTAAGATAACCTGTTGGCGCGTACGCCACCAGCATCAGGAAGGAAGCCACGGGCGACAATTTCGGAGCAAAGCATGTCTTGACGCGTGAGTCCCGGTTCCGCCTGACAGGTGGCAAAGACAAAGACAGGGTCCTTGTCTAACCTGTCGGCCAGGCTGGTGTAGCTGTCCGCGTCGGCAGCTAGGGCCAGAACAAGCGCAGGCCAGAAGAAAAGGCTTGTGAAAGCGGCAAAATGGCTTTCCGAACTTAGAACCCCAAAGTCCCAGTAGCTAGGAAAAAAGTCCGAGTCTTTTCTGCTAGCATAGTTGCGGCAGGGATTTGGGGTCACCAATCCCAGGGGAATTAGCCACAAAATTATGCCCAAATTCATAAAACTTTGAGAAGGCAAGCTGCAGGCATGGTGTTTCCTTCAAAATGGTTTCGGTTGACATTGTGATGGATCTTCAGGAGACAGGAATTAAGGATCCAGGTGTCGAAGTTATTGCACAACATTGGAAGGCAATCAACAAAATTCTTTTCAGGGAAGAGGCAACGCACGTGGCAAGTCCTTTGGAAAAGACTGTCCGACCAATCTGAGCAGCGCTGGCCGTAATGCACTGTTGGTGCAAGTACCATGGGGACTATC